GACACCAAGCTGTGTGGTGCGGTCGACACGCTGGAGGGAAGGGATGCCATCCAGAGGGACCTTGAAAGGCTTGAGAGGTGGGCCCCAGCGAACCTCATGAAGATCAACAAGGCCAAATGCAAGGTCCTGCACATGGCTCGGGGCAATCCCAAGCACATATACAGGCTGGGCAGAGAATGGATTGAGAGCAGCCCTGAGGAGAAGGACTTGGAGGCGTTGGTTGATGAGAAGCTCAACAGGACCTGGCAATGTGCGCTTACAGCCCAGAAAGCCAACCATATCCTGGGCTGGATCAAAAGAAGCGTGACCAGCAGGTCGAGGGAGGTGATTCTCCCCCTCTGCTCCGCTCTGGTGAGACCCCACCTGGAGCACTGCCTTCAGCTCTGGGGACCCCAACATAAGAAGGACATGGACCTGTTGGAGCGAGTCCAGAGGAGGGCCACAAAGATGGTCAGAGGGCTGGAGCACCTCTCCTATGAAGACAGGCTGAGAGAGTTGGGGTTGTTCAGCCTGGACAAGAGAAGGCTCCGGGGAGATCTTATAGCAGCCTTCCAGTACCTGAAGGGGACTACAAGAAGGCTGGAGAGGGACTTTTTACAAGGGCCTGTAGTGATAGGCCAAGGGGTAATGGCTTTAAACTGAAAGAGGGTAGATTTAGACGAGCCATAAGGAAGAAATTCTTCACTATGAGGGTGGTGAAGCACTGGAACGGGTTGGCCTGAGAAGTTGTGGGGGCCCCATCCCTGGAAGTGTTCAAGGCCAGGTTGGATGGGGCTTTGAGCAACCTGGTCTAGTGGAAGGCGTCCCTGCCCATGGCAGGGGGGTTGGAACTAGATGATCTTTAAGGTCCCTTCCAGCCCAAACATTCTATGATTCTATGAAGGAGAAAACCTGCACTTCATGAAATCTCAGAATTTCTTGGTCTAGCAACTGCATGGTAGCTAACATTCACAAATCCTAAGCTTGTTACAGTTGAAATAAGGAGTACCAAAATAAATTGGAAATATGTGAAGTGATGCTATAAAGTACTCTTAAATCTTGAGCCAGGCTATTGCACAGTTTGGAACTTTATAATGTCTGTAATCCCAGCGCGCTAATAAAATTCTGGATCAATACTCCAGATAGAGGAATAATTTAACAACTTAGCAGCAATTAAGGGTTTGCCAAGTGTATTGTATAAAATAATCAAGACATAGTCTCACCCCTGTTTCTCACCTCTATTCTGATCCTGTTCTCCTTGTGTCCCTTTTCCTCTTCTTTTGTCTGTTTCTATCTTCCTGAATTGTGCCTTCTTACATGTAGCCTTTATTCCCTTCAATTAATATATTTAAATCTCTTTCTCCCTCACTTTTCATGGTTTTTTTTCTTTTGGCACAGTTGAGGTCCAACTATTTCCTGTTTTCCCTCTGTGGACTTATTAGCCTGTCTGCTCAACCAGGTAATGTTTCAATCAATCCCAGACTGGATTTTTCAATCACCTGTACACCTGTAAACCTGTATACTAGGCTGCAGGGGAATTTTCACCTGCAGACCTCAAAAGAAATAAGGATAAAAAACCAGTCTGCCGGAGACTTCAGCACTAATTCAGCACCATAGCACAAAGATTGACAACATGGAAAACAGACCTTACCTGACATTTTGGCTGTCAAAGAAAATGGAGAAGCTAACTGGCTTAAAGAGGAAAAATGAGGAGGGATTGCATACGCTGCAGCTGCAGCTAGGTGGCACTGAAAAGTCTTGTGACTCATTTTCCCACCACAGGATACGAGAAACTTCTCTGATTTCCATATGAGGTGACCATATTCTGGCTGAGTAGAGTAACAGCCTTAGAAGGACTATTCTCATAGTCTGCTTATAAAAGCAAAAAAGACTCATCTGACAAAACTGCAAGCTGAGGTGAAGCCCTCACCACATAAATGCTTTCTTACGGAGTTATTGTGCATGTAACTTTCATACTACCACAAAGGAGGCCAAGTCCCTTTCAGCTTCTGTCACTTCGTTGTCCTCCAAGAAATCTCGCTGCTCCTCCCTCACTAGTTCTCTGGTCTAGCTTCTCTTTTTCACCCCCTCTTTTTAACTATCACTTTGCTGTTAAGCCAACCAAACTTCCTCCAGGTGCTTAGCCACACTCAGCTGCACTGGTGTATTTCCTATTCGCTTCTTGATGCTGTATATTCCTCCAAAACCCTACACAGCTTGCCTTCTACTGGCTTGTTCTGGACCTCAGTAAAGGACAGAGAATTATTAGCGTGGGTACAGGAAATATTAAGGATGGATGCTGAGTAAGGAAAGATGCCTAGAAGAGGGAAAATCATGTGGTAAAGGGCAAGACTTTGGGACAGGTTGCTTTCTTACACTGTAATTGTTTGCCAATGCTGGACCCAAGTTTTATGTATGTTTCTAAAGAGCCGACTCAGCAGCAGAAGCCTGAATTTTTATTTGTTTGTTTCTGAGTACAGGATGCTAAAAAAGGCTCTATACTACACTTGCAGTTTTTTCCATCAGTGCTGAGAAAATGAACACATTTCTCTTATCATATATACTGAAGGTTTTACGTTAATCAAAGTTTCCCAATCATCTGCTGGTATTTTTATCTTACGGAAGATTCTGCCGCTACCAAGGAAAGCTTTGGGACAAAACAAGTAAGCGCAGCTACATGTGGCTAATGCTTTTTTTTGTTTAATCCATCTATTTTTTGATATGGATTTAAAAGGTTATTAAGAGGAGAGGTTGTAAACCCAGATCTCTTCAGGTACCTACATGCTGCTCACCAGTATGTGTACATGGAAAGATTATGCAATAAACCATTTCTCGCAGAAACCCCCTGCTATTTTTTTACAGCATTAATACCGCTGTAAATTGATTCCAGTTTTGGTCCCTTGTAAGCCAGGGCCCTGGGAATATTGTCCCACCAGTCCTGCCTCCTCCCAGCCCTGCTATTAATCATGACTTGCCTGTCTTGAAATCTCCCACGGTTTGGTCACAGCTCCAAGGTCACAGGCTGTCATTAGCATTGATCTGAAAAACAGAAATGAACAATACAAGCTGAATCAACCTTTGTTGGATTTCTAAACAACTGTGCTCTGGATGCATAAATAAATAATACATATATAAAATGTCAGCCCTGCTACCTTCTTTTCCTCCAGAAAAGAATGACATGTTTGAAATCTTAGCCATCAGCATGGCTTTTACATCACAATTGTGCCTAATGTGTTGCAGGTCATCAAACGATTAATTTTGGTATTGTGCATTGCACACTAAAAAGGAAATGATATTGCAAGGGAATAACTGCTAATTTTGCAATACTTCTAACACTACTTACATTAATACCTATAATATACTAGAAAGCATGTGCTTCACATGATATAAGTAAGGGTACTATTGCATAATAACATCTGCAAACTGGATTAATTTATATGCCTATTTGTAAGTGACTGCTGTAGCAAGAGAACCTATAATCACAGGAGGCATCCCAGACACTGTTTAAGCAGTTTCTACTGCTCATCTACAATAAAAATTTAAGATTTACTATGAGCTATACTGTTCCACTGTAGTTTAATACCTAGCTACAACCATGTTTTATATGCATTAGGAGAAAGAAACCATTCAGCTGTAGAAAGCGTTTATGTACAGTACATGATGCAGATAAAAGTCTAAGAAAGTTTAAATGAGGAACAAGGGCACTGAAAATGAAGCATCAAATATATTGCCTGAATCTAAAACTAGGAATGGTTGAAATGATATGGAAAATAGAAAATGGCCAACGTTTTGGTCAAAAGACCAAAAGGAAACAGAAATTTAATGAAATTTCAGATAAAACGAGACATAATCAGGCATGTATATGCAAATGCACACATTTTATTGTCTCAAAAGCACGGTGTACTCAAACCACCCACAATGTGTGAGGTTTTCAGTAGGATGCAAGCTCAGATCATTCGTGAGGGCTAGAAGAGTACCGTGTATCTGCAAATTCCCAGGTACAGACTAGAAGAACAGAGAGAAGCATGGCCAGTGAAAGAAAACAGCTGGGAGGAGGAGGGAATGGGGAAATGGACAAGATCTTTGCGTCCTGAGGCAGAATATTGATGCTTTCTGGAGAAAGAGCGGTAACTGGTGGGGCTGGGAGAAAGGGAAGAAAACGTGACAGGGTGTGAAGGCAGAAATAGGAATGGAGAAGGTGAGGTCACACTGATTACATCCCTGCTGTTTCGTAATGTTTAGAAATCATACCGTACATTTCATATCATGGATCATATTTTTAAAACAAGCTACCTTCTCTTGTTACTCTAAGTCTTCACTCCATGACATATGAAATTCCTTAAACAAATAGGGCTACACTTTGAAATAACCAGAAAGCAAGAAATAGTACTGCTCACCGAAGTATTTCGCGGTGGTTTTTTATATTCCAATCATAACCACCTTTACTGACAAGTTCAAAAAACTCAGTCCTTCTCCTGCAACAAAACAGATTATCAGAGAAGGAAACGACACTTCCAGGGCAACACTGCAGTAGAAACACAGTTCTCTGGATGATATGAAATCATTGCACCTCATGTATTATTGTTAAAGTCGTTACACTGACAGTCCATTTAAGCGAAACATACTAATTTCCGAACATGTTCTATAAATGTCCGTTATCAATGTCAGAGTTGCCTAGTAAAAGCAATATTGTATTTATGGTCTCTGCAGATAAGGAAATAAATGGTACCAAAATGTTCAGTCTTCCATGGAAGCATGAAATGTTCAACTACAGCAGCGGACAGACAGACAATAGAAACACCCCTAAAATATATACACACTTCTCTTTACTTGTCCTTGCAAAATGATTTTTACTTCTGGATCCTGAAGGTTTCTCAGAGACGTGCAATTCCTGTTATTTCCAGCACACAGAACAGAACAGTGAGACACAGGAGCTGCAGATGTCTCGAGTTAGTAGTTCTTACTGACTAGAAACTAGGTCTCCCTGCTTGGTCCCATGCTTTCTCTTCTGGAATATCTTGCCTATGTCCTCAAAGATAGACAAAACATGAGCCAGAACATGTTAATGCTTGTTTGGTGCCTCTAAATACCAAAATTCTGACTCATCATAGCCTGTAATTTTTTATGGCACTGAGACTCCAAGCAGCTCTTATTGCATGCAGTGTGATTACAATATGAAACAGATCCTGCCCCACATATAGCGGAAGTTGAGGTACAAAAATATGGAGCAACTTGCCCAGAGTGACACAACATATTAGCATCAAAGCTGGAAAGCAAATACCTATGCTCTGAGTGACAGTCCAGTGCCCCTGGAGTCCACTGCCCCTCTCACAGGAGACTGTGCTATCTCTTTGTCGAGTAGAAATGTAGTTAGATTCCCCAACAGGAGAGAGTTTGCAAAGTCCTGTATTTTCTACATTTACTTCAGCTAGACTGAAATTTTGAACAGTGATTATTGAAAGCACAGTCTGACAGCAGCGAGTACAGGTTTTACACATGAGGAGATGCACACTCCCAGGAACATTGCCCTTGATCAATGGACAGAATTTTACATGGGACATGTTGCATTATTCTGGTCCCTGACTGTCATGTGTTATATGATCAGTCACTCCTACTATAGGGCCCTTCTATAATGGATTTCATGACAGCAACTAGAACAGGGAGATACAAGGACTACGTGATGATATCTAATTCCTTATGTTTCCCAAAATAAGACATAAAAGAGTTTCATGTTACAAAATTTGCTGGGACAATGCAAAGTCACACATGCAGAAAACAAAATTCAGTTCTCTCACACAAAGTCATAGCATCATGGCCCCGGTGGAAATAAATATTGCAACAATGAAAATTTTAATGGCCAAGAGTAGTTGGCACATAAACCTTAAACCAGCCTAATCCTGAGCAGATCATCAACAACTACACAACTCTACGTGAGCAGTGGATTTTTGCATCCTGTATTTCAGTGCCCAGTCTAACAATGTAAAATTTGGTAATTATTTCATTTTGAAGTGTCAGATATTCTGGGCAATTCATATGTTACTGGACAAAAAACAGGCAAGAATGTTTAAAGTTGAAAGCTCAGGAAGATGACATCCCAGAAACCTCAAACATTTGAATTTAGAGATCCATAAACAGTAACTGAAAATGTGAGTCTCAAGGCCTTATGTTAAGCTGAAAACTTTAAAATAAGAATTTTCTTTGAAATCCATTTAAATGGATGCAGAAGTAGTAGTCCAACTCCACAGAGAATTTCTAGTGTAGGAAGGAGTCAACCTGAGGAAAGCAGCCACGTATAAGGAAACAATTTCATGTTTCCTACTGGTTGCATATGCATGGTATCCAAAACGAAGAGGTTTGCTCTTATTAAGCAAACATAGTACGCCAGGATTTCAGAAATAAACAGAATCATAACAATTTTGCAATATCTTTGAGTAACATTGACTCTGGTTGTATTTTGCCTGGAAGGGAAAGTTGTCTTGCTGTATATAGCAAATCCAGTTTCTCTACAGCCCAGTGGCTCAAGACATCATTTGAGTGATTTTCCATACACTTCATTTTGGTTCCATGCTTTTGCTTGTTGCATTATCTACAAAGCATCATTATCTAGAATTATCTACTAAAATCAAGTATATTTTCCATCTGATCTTTCACTGAAAGTCAGTTTTTTGTTTGTTTGTAGAAAAGTATTGCCTTGAGAAGGTCATAAAGTCTTGCTCTGCCTGGAGTTTTGTTGCTGTTTTGCTAGCTGGACTTTGTGATCATTAGGTTTAGGCATTCTAAGAATACTGATATGAGAATTTCCTTCTCTACAAAAATATTAAAGACGTAGCAAACTGAAAAAACAAGGTCAGTACTTGTGAGGAAACATCTGTTCACATAGGGTGGCTTTAAGAAGTGTAAACCATTAATGTTTCCAGGGAGTGATTTTCAGGCACTTTTGGAAGTAAAGAAGCATAACAACTACCTGATTAATGAATCATCACACAAGAGGAAAAGATAACATATTTTCAGACTTCTGAGTAAAGAGGCATCATTTCCTAAAAGTTTTCTGATTCATGTAGCACATAAAAATCAATTAGGCAAGCAAGGAAGAATAATCTTGAGATTCAGCTGATGTCCCTTTTTGGACATTATTTCTCTGTACTAAAACTAGGAAGACAACTTGACCACGTAGTTTTTCAACCTAAGGCAGGCAGGGAAGAGTGCTCCATCATGTCTGGGTCTGGACTGGGTTCCCTCCCAAGGCACTGCCGTGGGCTCTCTCCAGGGCAGAGCCTCTGGCTCTTCCAGGGGCTGCAGGATCCCGGCCAGGGGGAGCACATGGGGCTGTGCCAGGGCAGCTGCCCTCTCAGCCCCTGCCACTCATCTCTTCCTTGACAACACAAAACATTTCTGCAGCCCTTGTTATTTGTGGTGAGGCAGGAGAACTGATACTGACCCATCCCTGTGGTCCTTGTATCTCACTTAAAGCTGTCAGCAAATTCCCCTGTCACAGCAGCCCCCCAGATACCAAGCGATCCTAACAGACACCTTCAAAAAGAGTATGCTTAAAAGGGTTTATTTGTCCTACTCGGGATTTTCATGTCAGCAAGCAGAAATTTCTTCATGGACTAATGTTTAGAAGTTATTTACAATAAAACTATTCATTAAAACCCTTTCTTAATACAACTTCTCTGAGAATAGCCTTGCAGGAAACAAAGAATATCAGTGTGTTTAGAAACAGCCCTTGGCACAGTAACCAAATACTGAGCAAAAAAGACAAAGCAAACATTGCAGCATCCCAGTTAGTATTTTTACAACTAACAGTTAAAGATACAGTGTTGATATAGATAGTTGAACAATTTCAGGGTAAAGACTTTGCCTGACGTTTTCTAGAAACTTGGTTTGGTATCAACCATCAGCACAAAGCAGCGGGGGAATCCAGGTATAACCCCCTAAAAGTTGGGAAAAACATTATTAAATGCTACCCAGCACTGTTTGGGATAGGATGCTAACAGACATGAAACAAAAATTCCTAAGGATGAATTATTGTCAAGACTGGGAAGGTAGTATGCTGAAACTGCACATCTGACAGCACTTCTCCCTGTAAGTCAGCCACAGGCATGTGTCAGAGAGGGGGATGTCAAAAGTGCAATGTGACGGTGACACCACGACTCCTCTGACTACACGCATGCTCCCACACGTTCACACTGGGAAGAGCTTGATAATAATTAACAGTATTTGAAAAACACAAAATAGCACCAACTTGAAGTCTACTTAGAGATTTGATTTGCAAACAAGGAAAAGGAAGAAAACCGGATGAGAGAGATCCTATTATACTTCTCTCCAGTTAAGCTTTTTAAGACCTATTCTCATGTGATGCAAATTGGCACAAATTGTCTTCAGAAAAGCAACGTGTATGCTTTCATTACCTCTGCAACTGAGTCTGTAACTAAATATAATATTTCTTAGCATACACGTTTAGAAACTCTGAAATGGTAGAAAAGAATACTAAAATGTCGTTGATTTTCTACATGCCTGAAGAAATGATCAGAGAAGGGACAGAAGAATTACGGGACTGAGCTGTAACCGATTCATGGGTTTGCTTTGACGTATAAGCCTAGGATTTCACTTGATTTTTGTTGATACAGACACGTTACACATTAAAGCAAAACTTACTTGGACACTTGAGATATTTCTATTACCCTAAGATATACTAAGCATTAGACTAAATCTCTTCAACCACAGCTAAACACTAATTTCTCATATTATATATCCTTATTGGTATTTAATAGCTCATTAGAGTAAGTTCTTCAAATTTTCATTTGTCAAATACAAGAAATGCCAATACTTACTCAAAATACAAAGTGAGGTCTGTTGCCAATATCGATTGCTTTAGAAGCTGCATAAGGTCACTGTAGTCCTTAGAGGACAAGTTAGCAAAGATGTTGTGACCCTATAATGAAAGAGATAAAAGAGGTAAAGGGCTAGCAATCAATATAGGTTTTTAAAAGGTTTTCTAACTCTTTAGTCTACTGTTTCCCTGCAACAGAGGCCTTTTCTGATTCATGGCAAAACTACGACAAAATAATAATGTTAATACTGCTGAGATTACATTGGGGTGGAAGAGTTGACGATTGTAATCAAGCACCTGGGATGTTTTTCTAAACTCTGCTGAAATTATAGTGTCTTCAGGAAAGATTTACTCTTTGCTCTGACCCTGCACAGACTCAGTTTATGGCGAAAACTATGGATACATCTCAATCTTCCCTCTTATTAAATGTTTTGGGGAGCTGTGCATTGCAGCTTTTGAGTTGTGCTTGTAATAGATTTATCTGTGCTGTTGTGCTTGCAGGTACACAAACTGCTGTTAGAGCAAAGACACTAAATCAGTTTTTCATTCAAAACAGCCCATTTGCTCTCTCTGCCCATTGCTGCGTTGCCTCACAGTGTATACAAGCATTGCCTATGCAGGCTAAAGAACCACAACTTTATGCAGTTTAAACACCCTTTGTAGGCCCAGTAGGCTACTTTTTAAGCCATCATGGATTAAGAATTTGAAAGGTGCTCCGTGGCCAGAATGAAAGGAAATGAATTATTTAATATTGCTATTTGAGAGCAGGAAGGTCCTTTTGTAACTGAATTTCTGAAAACTGAGAGGGACAGAGATCCTGTAATTTCTCTATGAAATCCTAGAGAAAATAAGCTGAAAGAAACAAAATTAATAGAAAATTCTGAATCTAAGCTTAAGAAGCGGTCTTCGTGACATTAGCCACATGTAACTAAATTAACATAAATAAAAGCACTACACTTGGGTTTTTTCCAATCACCTAAAGAAATAATGAGGTTCTTGCTAAACAGAGTCTTATTTTGGTGGTATTTAGCACTGTAACACACACATTCACTATGCACTGCCATCTACTGCTTAGGAAGATTAAAATGTCCTTAAAAACAAGAATTTTCCAGCAACAGGATTGCTACAACCATGATGGTCTGAGGACATAGACGAGATAGGGTCTGGAGGTAGAGATGGTATTTTTTTAATAGATTAGCTAATAACTGGACTAAAAAAATAATTTGCCATGCATAAAAGATGGTCTTCTCTGTGACAATGAAATTATTATTTCTTTTCAGCTAAATACTGAGAAGGATTTGAGAATCTAAAGCTTATTTAAAAAAAAAAAAAAAAAACCAAAGTACTCAAGAAGAAAATAAAGCAAAATGTATCAGGAAAATAGCAGCTCTTACAACAGGGGTAATTTACCAAGTTGTCTGTTATTCTATAATATCTGTTGCCTTTCTGACCTGTTTTGTGGTGTATAAAACCATGTCACTACAAAGCTCAAGATCACTTATACGGAGCTTAGCATCTCAAGAGTAAAGGATAAATAGCTCCTTTGTCCAACATGATAAAAATCTAAAGAAATAATACAATATCCTATGTTTCCTTCTAGATAGCAAAGACAGACTAGAGTATCAACATTAGTGGATAGGATACAATCTAATTTCAGCTTATTTGAGAGAGGAGACCAACTGCTTAGCTGGTGAAAGTTGGTGTATCTTTATGTAGATTGGAGGATCCAAATCTGCATTTATTCCAAACTAAGGGGTGTTGTGTTCCATTAGCAAATAGTATCTATTGAATAAAAATCCTGTAGGATTAATTTTCTGGTCTAGAAATGAGGACCTGAAGAAGCTGCCTGAGTGAGCAAAAGGGAGGACTTGCATTTCAAGTAATATTTTATATCTCTGAAAGAAGCTGGAGTAGATTCCAAGGAAAAAAGTAGTTTTTTCATAAATTTCGTGATTTTTAAACTAGAAAAGATAAAGAAAAGCATCTAGACTGACATGAGATATAAACTTTCACAGAGTTGTCCGTGTCTTGAGCCTGTCTTCAGAAAGACATTCAGTCATGATGAAGATTTCAGGAGCTAGAGAAATCACTGTTTCCCAGGAAAGCTTGTTCCAGGGATGAACAGTCTCATTGGTTTAGAAAAAAAACCCTAAACCAAAAACTCCTTCCTTTTTTCCTATTCTGAACCAGTCTGTTTAACTTTCAAATGCTGCTTTTTCTTATGCCTTTCCCTGGTAGTATAAGGAACCATTTAATTCCTAGTATCACCTTTTAGATAAGCTAGGCTAGGCTAAGCAGATTGAGCTGTTTAAATCTCATGCTGGTGCTCTCCTTTCTTATGTCTACTTTTTTAATATAATGTCAAGAAACCAAATGCTAAAGCCACAGTCCCATGACTAATCGCTGTGGCACTGTACACAGAGGCAAAGCCGTCACCCTGTTTCCATTTGTCTGCGATCACGGGACATTCCCAGATGCTCTTCAAAAGTTATTGCAGATCAGCATATAGTCTCCAATTGTGCTGCATGAAAAACAGTTTTGTTTTTATGTATACAGAATGCATTTTGTAATAATCTATCTGTGTAAATTAAGAAAATACATCCATTGTTTTGTAAGGATTGTGTGTCCATCCTTCTACTTTTCTCACTTACTACATCTCTGGGCTAGTGCATGCTGCATACTGTTGCACGTAAGATATTCTAGGCAAGAACTATGTCTTTATATATATCTGCAAAGCAGCTAGTGTACTTTGGACAGCATGATATTACTGATATTAATTTTTTTAAAAAATAATTTAGTAAAATTATGCAAAACCATCATAAAAATACTGATTACAGAAAGACTGTCAAAGAAATTAAATTGGTCCAGTAAAGGATGACTGTGATACTCTGAATACAACACCTGTGGGGAAAGGTAAGAGCTTGTTTCGCCTACCTATAAACCACTGAGCAGGATATATGTAAGACAACTGAGAAAAGCTGACAATATGATTAGGATATGTTCTCCTTGCCCCTAGCTGATTGAGACAAATATAATCTCTGGGCTCCATGATCAGCATTTGTAGTTGTTTAATTTTGTGCTAGTTGTGACCTTTGTGGTAGCCAATAAATAATTCCTGAAGGAGAGGGCATTAAGAAGGTACTGTGTGTGGTATTTCCTTTCTCTGGCTGAAACTGCCCAACAGCTTACAGAGAGATTAATAGTAATGCTTTTGTACCTCACTTTGGAGAATCATGACAGCATGATTGAAATGGTGGTGCTCCAAGGTAGCAGAGGTGCCGTAGAGCTGAGCTAAGGCTGATCCGCTCCTGAAACAGAACACGGGGAGTCAATACTGCTCGTCTGCTTACGAAGCAGGTTTCAGAGACAATGTAGTAACGAAAGCATGTAACCACGCTCTCCCTCTCCATTTCAGCAACCACACTTGAGACAGTTGACAAGATCAAAATACTCATTTAAAGCCAGATACAAGGCATTTATGTTCCAGACCTTGCTAAATATCATCAGCTGACTAAAGATTTTCCTACATGAAATTTTGTAACGCAACTTTCCAAGTGCCTCAGCAATGCAACAGCATGGGTGCACCACTGTGCAGTAAAGACAAACAGTAACATACTTGAGCTAGGACCCGCTGTTCAGCTACTACTTTTTATTTTTAATTCTTAATAGATATAATCACAATGACTTACAATGGGTGATTACAAACTCCGTAAAAAACCCCAAAACACAACAACAAAAAACCAACTGCAAATGCAGTGAGGTTCTGTCTGTATATAAAACCATACACTTAAAAAAATACCAAGGTAAACAAAAAAACACAAGTGAGAGCAGTGAATATAAAAGTAAAGTTTAGCATCTCTTTTGAATGTATTTTCTCATCATGTTTATTGTCTAAAACAAAATTAACTTCAAAATGCACAGAGCAGGTGGGGTTTCTAAGTTTAAAGAACAAAAATCTACGGAATACAATTATAAAATTGTGAATCATTGGGAGGTGCAGAGAACGGGACTGGATTGTCAGAATAGTTACTGTTCACCATTACTTCACTTCTGGGACCCAGCCTAAAGCGACAAGATGGGTTTTCTTTCCAAAGAAATGAGAGTAAGAGATTATGCTAGAGACAAACAGAAAGTGTCTCCTAGGAGCGTATACAATAAAACTGCACCATACTGATATTTAATTATCAGAAGCAGCTATATTAGAGAGAAGGATGTCCAGGAAACATCATCCCTAGAGAACATGGTGTTGAGATATACAACAGAGCCATTTCAGACAACTGTGATATTGCCTCCATCATATACCCCTTGAACTTTCATCACACAGAACAGCAGTATTGAACACTGAAGATAAAATAGGAAAATGGGATGCTTAAATTTATAAGTCAGGTTAGAGGAATAAATCATAGCTGCTATTATGAAAACTACAGCTTCTATTTTCAGGGATGTTTTATACATGTGTGGTAATGTTTGTCTTTTGTTGAATGTCTTCAGCAATTTCTATATGGAGTCGTAAAATGGTAGCTGCCTCCTCTTTGTACTCCGTTGTCAAGCAAGTATAAGTGATGGCAGTCTAATGCTGAAACCTCTACCTTTAACTCAGCCATCCCTCTGCACAAGAGATATTGTTGTGTAATGTTACGGTGGAGAAGTGGTTAACTTAATCAGAGACTAAAACGGTCAGGATGTAAATCTTAGGTCTCGTTTTTGTAAATTAGGAACATAAACATCAATCAGCTGAGATTCCTTCCCATTTGTCTCGTCTTTTTTGATTCTCTTCAAGATTCAGCTGCAAAAAGGCATCTAGCAGTGCTTGGTAACCTTTGCACCACAAGCTCTGTCTTTTGAGCACTGCAATTGATTTTCCTTGCTATGGTGATTGAAGATCCAGACAGCGTCGTTGTTTCATTGAGACTGTACACCACCACCAATAGCTCAGGAAATGGCAGCTTAGCGAATATCAGAAACATCAGTTTGAGTGATGTTCACTGAGGCAACTCACCCCCAGAAATGCAGCAGCCCGTGCATACACAGATTGCAGCAGAGTATTTTTGCAAAAGGTAGGACAAAAAAGGCTAATACAACATCACCCTGTCTTTCAAATATCTTTGGACAACCGTCTGACCACTTCCCCGTCACGCTGGAGGATTAGCAGTAATGCAGAACGGACAAAGTTGCAAACGCATGCTGGGATCTGCAGGACAAGAGAGCCTCAAGATCTCACATTCTGACTGTAGAGGACCTGGGGAGTTGAGAAAACAGCATAGGATTTGGAGGAGTGTCTGTGTCTGACAGCTTTATTTCACAGCTTGGCCAGGATGTTGTCAGGGGACATTTCCTGTTGTCCCCCTGTTGTCACGGAACACAGATTTTGGAAACAATTTGACCTTGGTCAAGGGAGTTCCCTTACCACCACAGTAAGAAGTACCACCGTCGAACCTTCCACAAACCTGCTTCTACCTCATTAACGTGTCTGAGGGTAGCAGCCTGGACAGTAAAAATATATGCATGTCAGGGCTGCTGAATCAGGTCCTAAGCACTTTGAATAGAATAAAATTCATTTTTAGAATTGAAAATGGTCTGGAGAGCAAGATTTCACATAGGTGATGTACGAATCTGCCTTTGAGATCCAGCTTCATGTTCTGGTGGGTACTGACCATTTCAGGGGGTGGCCAGCCCACCCCTGCCCACTGCAGCGTATCTCCGAACAGGCTCTATGTGCGCTGGCATGTGGGGCAGGCCAGGGAGGAGGCATTTCTACAGACCAGGGACCCTGCGTGCTCCACAACTGACGGGTGTGTGGTGAGGCAACTACTCCAACCACCCACTGCGGACAAGATGCATCTGAGCTCCAGCATGATGGCAACAGTTTCATACTCCATAGGCTAGAAATTACTTTATGTATGCTTGCCTATATGTTTGTGAAAGTTTTTGTGAAAGCATGATTTCAGTTTTACCTATTTTCTTTTCTTCTTAATAGTTGAACAAGATTTTGCTTAACATCATGCATTCCAGCTAGCAAGAACAACCCAGATGGACAGTTTCAGTGTTTCCCGGGTTGAATACCAGGATCAATAATACCTCAGCCTGAGAAGAACAGCAAGTTTTGGCACCACATTTCAATATGCAGTGTCAGTTCACAAGGGGTAACCCAATCAAGAGCTTGATACAAAGGACAAGCCAGCAATTACCCAAAAGAACAGAGAATGATAAAGATGGATAGTCCCTCACTACATACAAGAATAAGACTACTTGGCCTTGGCCTAGGAGGCCTGAAATTAATGCTTCATTCTTCATCCTGGTCACCTTTTGCTCTTCTGTGGAAGAAAACCAAATTAAAGCAATAAGAATTAGAAAACTTACTTGGCTTGGAAGGCATTGTTGGTTCCCCTGTGGTCAAGGTCGTGACATAAGCATCCCACAATCAAAGCCAAAATTTCAATTTCAGTCAGAATGTCCTGAAATCCTGCAGTCTGAGAGCAGAAAAAAAAAACAAAAAACCAGCAGCTGTAACTATCAGTAGCGGAAGGGATAAGTAATGTTAGTCCATCGAGCAACAGTCAACTTTGTTTTGATACCATGAACGTTTCAGCAAGGAGAAGATAAATGCTTTATTGTCATATTATATTCCCTGCTGTATGTTAGATGGTTAGCAGAATAGATAACGTCCTCGGAGTGATCTGTTATTATCTCTCTGTTGCATTTCCAGCATGCCATTTCTCCCCTACCCAGAAGGCACTAACGGCAAAAAGCGCTGAAAACAAACACCAATAACGACACACTAAGATGGGAACTGGAATTTCAAATTAGAGAAATATAAAACAATATTGATTCCATTTTGAAATTATTGTTCAGAGAAGTACTTAGATTTCTTCAATCCTGAGGTGGCCATCTTAGTCAATCCCTACTGTCAGATAGCTGAAGTGTTAAATCAAAAGACCTATAAAAGCAGCCAGCTAAAATATACTCTATGGAACTGTTACGAACTATTAAGAGATTTGTTTTCTGGGACACATGACATGAAAAGCATGATTTAAAGAGGAAGTGTCTCAAATGGCGTATTTCTGCTGCAGATACCCACTTGAATTTGGGAGAGAATTTTGAAAACTGATATATTGAAATTCCCCAGGAGCAGCTCAGACAAGATACACCCGTGCGAATGGGGGAACTGATCCTAGAAACATTTTTTTGCCGCTATACTTCTCCTCGTGGATACCTGCCATAGCACTTTTCCTGCCTGAACTGCCTCATGTCAGAGAAGAAATACTGCTGTTACTGCTAACCTCAAGCACCCTGAACAGATCCTGTCTGGAGAAGGTGCTGGAGCCTGTGTGGGACAACACCTCTCTGGTGCTGTGCATCTTACCCATGGCAGAAACAACGTGGTTCTTCAACACTTCAGAAGCATAAGGGCATATTGCCTGCAAAAATGACTGGCTGAGCTGGACAATCATAACACTTGTCTTTCCACAGTGCCAGTCTCCAATGACACTCCTCAATTAGCCACACAATCTAGTCAGTATGAAAGGAAATTATATAAAAGGAATACAAAATATATTTATATTGTAGGACCAAACCAAGGCTGAACACTAACAGTGTGTAAGAAATCCTGAATTCCATTGATTTTCAATGGGGCGTAATTTTACCCACTGGCAAGAAGAGGGTTAAGTGATACAAAGACAGTGAATATCAGTGGGACTTCATGTCCTCACCTAGTAGGAACTTACAGCCCACTCAGAAATGCCAGTCAATACCATGTGAAAACTCTGCTGTTCACCCTGAAGACCACAAATTCTACTAAATGCACAGTCAAATCCAAATAGCCTCTGTTTTCATAGTGTGAAATGTGGCCGCAGTTAATACTTAGGCAGTACAGGGAGCCAAGCTCCTGCAGGTGCTCAGGAATGCATTTCAGTGGGAATTGAGGAAGTGCAGGACTTGCTGCAAAAGCTTTATAATTGTGCTCAAAGTTTACATATCAGAAAAGATGATCAAATATGAGGAAAAAAGATTCCCTTCATGTAGAATCCACTGGTGTACAGGGTAACTTGAATATTATGAAAGAGATTCTCCTGATTTTTAGTGGCATTGCTTTTTTGAAATTGTCTAAAAAGTAGTGTTTTCTCTTTTTATTTTTAAACATTGCTTCTATATAACAAATAATAATCAAGGTCTATTTTTAAAAAAGGGGTTAAAAATAGGTTTGTAACTGACAACATGCTGTGTATCAAGTTTCAATCTAGAGAAAACGTTCACGGCTCAGTTAAAGCAACTTAAAATAGTAGTTTTATAATATAAAATTGATGCTGTAATAAATATCCTTTAGCATAACACATGCTTTGATTAAACTCAAGGATTCAACCTCTATTGCAAATGCAGGAAAGCCGATTAAGGAATTTACTAACAGTAGCGATATCTCAAAAATAAATGCAACATTTTATTTAATTAAAAGTCTTGTCATTGAATATATGAGAGAAATATAGCATATTTCACCTAACAAAAAACATTTGATTTAAAACAATGTTATAGTAAGGGGATATCTGCTTTGAACATAATGCAAGAAAATAGAGAATTACATTTCCCCATTTTTTGAATTTACACAGAGAGAAAAAAATACATGGCTATAGACAACGGTGCAGTAAAATTTATTTTCACCAGAAAAGGAATGACCCATAACTCATGAGTGGCAGCGTCTCCAGTGAGTTATGGAGGTCATTCTTACATGTGAGGAAATGAATTGCATTCATTATACCTTGCCCCACATTTATATGTTTTGTTATTAGCACACCAGATAGGATTTTAATTTTGTATTGCTTACTTGTTCATTTTTACTTTTTGAAATAAGTATCAACATGAACTGTGTTAGGCAAAGGCATTGATAATGAAGCCTGGGCTTGATCCTGTGGTTTACTCTCACATGATGTCCTTAACTCGCAGGAGCAGTCTTGCTTCAGTGCTTGCCTTCAGAATATTTGGGTGAGTCTGAAATACAGAAGTAGGGCTCGCAGGACTGGGGGCTTATAATTGTTCAGTGTCTAACCAGAGAGCAAAAATATATACTCAGATATGCAGGAACATACCTTAGATATGCAGAAGGCTGACCCAGGAGTGAAACAACTGGTTTAAGCTTTGTTGGATTTCTGTTGTTTGGCTTGTTCAACCCAGCTGAATTTTCTTTCTGCATTCAGTGGACGCACGGTCGGGCCATTAGAGGCTACCGCATTCCAGATTAGACATTCCTATGCTACAGTAAGTCCTACCTGAAAATGCCCTAAAATAGAACTATTGATTTATATTTGCGGTGCAGTCAATATTGCTGACTGTCATGGAGAAATCAGGAATAGGGTGCAACAACTGCACAAAGCAGTGCCTTCTTAACCATCAGAGCCCCTCTCTGATAGTCAAAGAATTTTCCCCTCTTTGCAGATGGAAAAACAAGGCACATACTAACTTGGATGGTTCCCCCAAGACAAATGCAGTAAGAGCAAGCCTTGTGCTATTACTAGTTTCTTGACTCTCTCTTTTGTGTCTTTTTTCACAAGATCAGTCTTCCTATTTCTGGAAGGGAGACCAGCCCAAGTGGATCATACACCTGAACTTATTCTGTTCTTGGCCAGAGCCACAGCGAAGCAGGGTGGGATGTGTGGTGAGTCCAATGCCATGGGCACATGCATGCCCCTGCCCGTGGAATTGCTTGTTTGGTTTATTACCAGGAGTGTGGGCAATGAAATGAGCTTGGCTTGAAAATCCCGGATCACCTCCCACATACAGTTGCATCCCCGTGCTGACTACTAAAAGGATCCTGAAATTATGTTTTGAGAGCCACGGTCAAAGCGGTTTATGGCTGAAGCCTCACAGGCTTGCTGGTGGCTGTTGAAGCAGCAGAGATCTGCTTTCTCCCTGCTGGCTACCAATGTAGTCACTGCTAGCTGAGATGGAGATGCTTGGTGGGAGAGAGTATCTCCCACAGAAAGAACAGCCTGCCGAAAACCTGGCCTCGGAGCTCCACCTAGAGGTCCTCACGGGTGAGGTTTGAGGGCTCCTCACCCCCTGGCAACATTTGGCAGAAATTAATGTAATTCCCAGCTGAACGGCACTGCCTGACTTTGCCCTTACGCCTCAGAGTAAAAAGCTTTTCATTTTTCCATAACTTAAAAAAAGCATGTCGAGTTTATAAAACCTTAAAAACGACTGATGCCCACACATTACCATGAGATTTCATTAGAGATCATCAGAAAGTGCCTGCTGAAATCACGTTAATTCTGTTCAGCTGAACAGCCTCACGCCCAGAAGAAGAGGTGACCTTTCTCTCTTGTTGAATGTCTCCATTTCCTTTGTCTCATGGCGTACGGTACAACTTTGCTACGCCTCCGTAAATGCTCACAGAAACAAACCCATGTAGCTGGGATGGACCTAGCACTATACCAACATCTACCTGCTAGGGTCATACTCTTGTTTTTTCTTGTCCGACAGACACAGTTGTGCCACAGAAACAATGCCAAATGAAGTAGGACAACTGGGAACCCACGCGCAAGACAGCTGTGCCCTGTGAGCAGGTAACAGGCCACAGACTGTCTCAAGTCCATGTTAACACGGCGCTGACCTGTGCTGTGCATGGCACAGGCTGTGGAGTCTCCACCTCTATGGACAGGGTCCAGACGCTAACCATGCCACACAGACCGGCCAACAATGAGAACATAAACGTTCAGTGATTAAAAATTAGGGAACAAGCACATGATAGCCCAGATAAATAAATACTTGCACAAATGCTATTAATACAACCACTTTAAAGTTCACAATAGATGACTCTGGCCATTAAAACTGAACATGAAGAACAAATGGAAAAACTTGAATTCTTATCTTTATCTGGAGATAAGGCAAACCTAAAATGTAAAGTATAGTGGAAAGTGTTGTTTGCACACAGACATGTTGCTTCTCTTTTGCCATATTAAACATTCAGGATGACCAAGCTTTTTATTGAGACATTTACAAGAACTAACTAGCCAAACATGGATTCTTTCATGCAGTGAGGTTGCTGTGGGGTAGGGAGAGAGCACGAGTAAGAGCAGTGGTACTTTCAACAGAATTTACTTTTATGCTGAGAGGAGTTACAGGTACTGATGGAGATACATGTTAATAAAACGCAGAATTGTTACAGCATCCAATGGAGACACAAGGTTCACTTAGATCACTATGTTGGAAGATAATCTTAAAATGTTTTAAGGCAATACCTTCTGCAACTATTTAGATGAAGCTGGATAAGAAGGTAATAAATATCAACGTAATAAACACTTCTTCTGGGATTCTAATCTTCTGTGGTTTTGTACCTCCCAATTTAAGTGTCTGAAATAAATGTCAAATCAGAGTTCCAAAAGAAAAACATTTTCGTAAGATCAAGATCTATAACAACAAGCTCACTCCAAGACTGCCATCTGTTTTCAGTCACTTTAATGTGCCTGTGATATCACTCTCTCTAAAACACTATAAGGTTTTGCCAAATATGTGCCGCCTTAAGTCGAATAACCTAATTCTGTGTGCATTTCTTTTGGAAATGAATGAGTATCATCATAACTAGAAAAGAAATCAAATGTTGGAAAATGTTTAGACAGGTAAGGCAGTGTGGCAATAAAAGCTCTTACGGGATTGTGTCTGTAGCTGAATACTTACAGTTAACATGGCAAACATTAGCTGGCAGACGTTGAAAGCATGCCTCCAGTTGTGATACAAAACCATTCGATAATTCTTCCTAACTGTCAAAAGCCACCTACACAGTGTCTGAAATGAAAAGTACAAATTGTATCAGGGCTACTAAAAGTGTACAAATGGACAGAGCAGTGCCAAGACAAAAGCAGCAGATATCTCTGCAGCGCAGATGGTTACCTCATAGTCAATTTTAAATTTCTGAACCATTCCAAGTTCCATGAACATCCGCAGGGCTGCAGTAATCATGGCATCCACATCAAGCGAGAAGTCATCAAAATGGATATCATCAATGCCAAGCTCTGACACCAGAGGGATGTTTGCTGCCTGAATTTTTTTCTTCTGATTCAAAACTTGGGTCTTTTTTTCTGTGTCACTCTTACGAGAAACCATCCGTACATCAGTTCTGACCTGTCAATACATCCCCTGCTTGATTTGAATGCCCAGCAATAAGTCTTCATCCGAGAAATACAAACATGTCAAGCTAACAGAAAGAGGAAACAGCGGGAAGGAGAAGAACCTGATATGAGCAGGAAATATGCTCACCATCCCAACTGGAGCCCACATACAGCATTTAGACTGCGAGAGCTGACCACTTTACAGCTACTGCAGTAACACAATATATTCCAATGCAAATTACAACGCTGTAATGCAAGAAACATCTGGACAGCCAGCAGCTGTGAATTTTAATTGCTACCATTCAGAAATGCAAAGTAAATATACTGCTCTGCAGAATTTCTTCATCCAAATGTCTTTACATTCATAAGCATACAAGTGCCCGTTGCTTTACACTGTTTACTACACATTTGTAGAACCAAAAAAAGAGTAATACAAGAAATGTCTAGCAGAAGTACTTTTCAAAGTAAAATAAAAATGATTTTCAACATGCTGATTATGTAGTAAGTCAATAAACAACAGCAAAAGCCTTACATTTTGCTTTGTCCATGTAACAGCAGACTTTTGTTCCGTTTGTAAGAGAGGAATGAGCTTTTCATACATACAAAAAAATACGAATGAGTGCGCAGGACTGGCTAACGCATACAGTTGCACACACAGATGTGTTGTGGCTGGCCCACAGGGTTGTGCTGACAACCCTTACGGGCTTGTTTGCCCTTCCTTACACCCCTTTGGACTTGCCACTCATCGCCCTGGAGAGGGCAGGTGGAGAAGGCTGCATATACTGAGGGAGCATCTGTTCCCTGTCTCCCGCAGTAAGAAGGTGATGGGTCAGGTAGAAACCTCACAAAGGGGCTGGATCCAGCCAACAGGCCATGGGCTGGACCATGCCGAATTAGTTAAAATCGCATGGACTCAGCTAGTGTGGCACATCCAGCTACTGACTTGCATAAAATACCGATTTTTTTCCTGCAACTGTAAGTTCACCTTCACAGTTACAACTTCTATGTAACAATCTTAGGGTTTCCTTTTTGAAAACTTGTGTTTTGAAATGTTGCATGCTAACTACAACAAGTTATTGACATGTAAAAAGCTTTTTCTAGCCAAAGGGAAAGTGCCACCTTTGATAATTACTTTATGCAGAGATTAAGCTGGTTTAGCTATACCACGTAAGAGAAGATGGTGTAAACCTGCCATAAAATAGTATTAACACTGCAGTGTTAACTTACTTGCTAGCTAGAAGAAAAGTCTTCAGTTCAGCACCCAGTAAAGCACGCCAATACCACAAAAAGTCATGGCGTTACACCAGTGAGGTTAACTGACATAGGAAATACAAGAAACCCATGAAGTCAAGCGTCATCCCAGGATACAGCTGAAGAACCTCTGGAGCATGCAGAGTTGTAAGCTCTGTAAACTGCATACTTAGCCTGCTAGCATACTTACCCTGCTAGCATACTTACCCAGGTTGAATCAATTCAGCATCTTTTTTTTTGAATAATTATTGAAACATTTGAAATACTTCTAGACAATCCCAACAGGAGTTACACCTTAACACCCTTTAAGATCTGGCTGAAAAGCTATGTATTTACTTCTGAGGTAAAGGAAGAAAGAAAATACGGTTAGGTGTGAAACAGGAACGCTGGCCCAGAGACTGTGCTGTCCAGACCTTCAGCGGTCTTACAAAAATGGTGACTTTTTTATCATCAGTTATTCTTCAGAGCTTTGGGGGATACTCAAGACGCATACTAATATTTATTCTATGAATACACTCGTCGCATAGTAAATACAATCTCTATAAAATGTCTCTGAGGGAAGAAACATGTTTGTCCACCTTACTCGTTTGTTCCTTAGAAAGAAGTTTAAATAACAAAGATGCTGAAACAGAAACACTTGACTGTAAGTAGACCTACTTGAAACTGTTTTATCAAAACTATCTTTACAAACCAACTGCTGGATTTTCATTAACTTTGAAGCGGGCTCTGATTAAAATTTTCACATTTTTTGTCCTCTTACAGGAAAACAGATATTTTCCTTGTTATTTTTTACTGGAAACAAACTTCTACCAGCCTGTTACAATTCAAGGGAGAACACTTGAAGAGGTTGCTCAACTACAATTGTTTTTCCCTTTGTCATACAGTGGAGAAATAACAACATATTCTAAATCTATTACAAACTGAACAACAGGATATTAACAAAGCAAGTCAAAACCAATTTCTTCCCACGTCAGTCTGAAACTTATAAATATTTATGAGGTTTTACATTCCTAAATTTAACAGGAGTGCCATAATCCAAAATAACTGCTAAATTAATAGCCAGGAGATAACATTTGTATAAAAGAACCATTTGCTTTACAACAGCAATAAAGGAAACAACAGAATTATGAGTGTTGAAACTAATTTGAATAATGTTTAAAAATGGTATGTTGTGGGGCTGCAGCAATGTTCTCACTGCACCTGGCATTGTCTGTCCTCAGCTTCTTATGTTGGAAATGCAGCAGTCCAGGGTTTATAGGAGAGCAGTCATTAAAACGTCATTTTTTAAATTACAAAGATATAAAAAAAAATTCATAATACAGAATATTAAAACACATCCATCCCTGAAATTTTGCTGCACTGCAGGACAAATTCCAGTGGATTTCTTAAAACAAACAGCAGTAACAACACTCTCTTCCAGGAAAACAGAGGGGATGAAAGTACCGTGACAATAAAAGGAAGGAGCAGACAATTAAAATTCAAGTTACAGTGAAATTATTTTTTAAAGGACCCCAGCGATTAGGAATCACTTAAAAGGCTTGCTTCCTTTTGAACATTTTCAAGTTCAATTTCCCCTTTCTAAAAACAATTAAGAACATTATATTCTGAAGTCTTTTCACCCTGCGGCCCAAGCAATTTCAACGCTCTTCATCCTCAAGAAAAATTCACATGACTCTTCCGTGAGCTTATGGTAAATTAAAGCTGGATGTGCCTCCTCTGGTCACATCCCCATGCCCCTTGGTACTAAAGCAAAAATTTGTCTTGAAAGGAACCATGAAAACAAGTTAGGCTTAACACATGGAAGGCATCTGGTCTTGCCTAATAAAGTACAAACTCAGCAATTACCAGACTGGGAAACTATCACCACTCGTAGGCAGCTTGAAAAAGAGGATGTCATGCCCCGAATGAGAGCATAAAGACAAGGTCTGTGGCTACCCCATACTCAGATGTACGTGGGATGGGGTGGGATGGATACAAGAAGGAGGAACAATGCCTTTGTACTCAATTCAGGATTGGAGACAGATTCTCCTTTCCTCATTGCTCTTCGCTATCATGTAAATTGCGTCACAGCCTGCTTGGTATATGTGAACAGCTGATATTTTCTGATACAGCTGATATGAGAGACAAATGACTGGTTGAGCCTTACCTTACACCTCAGCCATCGCCAAAGGGCCATATGTCATTAATGACCATCATACTTCCAAATATGTGGAACGCCAAAGAGGCTTCTACCAACAATAAAATGCCAATTCTGGCCACTATAAAAGACAGCCCATGGGAACAGAAAAATAATGTTTCTGGTTCAGTATTAATAAGCCTTTGGGCTGCTGTGGATGAATGAAACCTAAGAAGGAAAACTTCAGGAAACTAAAGACTCAAAGTTTCAAGAAAAATTTGAAAGGCTAAACACTTGAAATAAAAGCTACTATTCGGTGCTTACACCTTTGTGCTGCTGAAGACAACTATTTCACAGTTTTAGAAGTATGTATAAAACATATGCTGTATAAATTGGTTTCTTTATATTGTTAGTGTGCAACTAGTAAGAATAAAGATAAGCATTTATACTCATTTTTTCTTCTGGGCAGTATATGTTCATGTGTAAATATGTTAGAAAAATGCAGTATAATATGCACACACATATACACAGAACATTTTATAACATTCTCACTGTAAGGGCTGAACGAAGCAATCGCAATCAATCAACACAAGCAAAAGGGGAGACTTCTGCTGCTCTTACCGAACATATTTCCTGAATTGAGAGATAGATCTTACATTCAGCTTGGTTAACATTACTGCAAATTGCTTTCCTTTTAATCCTACTTTCAGTTTCTGTCATATACCACACTAATACCTTCATAATGGCCAATACTTCTATTGAGAAAACGTATGCAAAGCATACCATTAAATGCCCCCTTACAAATTAATTTTAAATCAGTTTATAGTTATAAATAGTACAAGAATGATCCCCTGGAGATGGGTGAAAGGAAAGGGGGGCAAGCTTCCTGTCCTGAATAACTTGTAGGTGTGATAGCTGCTATAAGCTCATGATAGACATCTTGCTATTTTAGGATCTGGAAACACTTTACCAGTCCTTCCAAACAGGGAAGAAACTTTATGGATTTCCCTAATGATCCACAGAGTTTTACAAACCAAACTTCCTGTGTGAGCTGGAAGTCTAGTCTTCAGTATGTGAAAGCGATACTAAGCTAAAGTCTTCTCATTCCAGCTAGTCAGATGTGCTGCCAGTGAGGACCAGCAGACAGGTCACATGCTGCCAGCATAAAAAATGGTCAGAGGGAGATAACTCCTTATGCAGGGAAAAACTGTATCGTGTCAGGAACAAACATGAAATAGCAATTTGGATATTTAATAATCTCTTATAGCAGAATTTGGTTATAAGGCAGTCTAGGTCAGTGGTGGCGAGAGGGCAATTTCAAGGTGGTGATTACATTTTGTCTCATCTTGCCATAATCCTCTTATTCCATCCTTATTTCCTACAAGTTGGCACACGCTGACAGGCAGCTTAAGGAGTTTCTTAAATGGAAGACACCTACAGCTCAAGGTGCTGACTGGAATAACTTGATTCAGCACTTTACATTATATGAAAACAGGTTTTGATCCCATTTGATATTAAGAACACAGGACAAAGTATCATTCCACAGATTGACAGGGAAGGCT